AATGCCGTGTACTCGCGCGATACAATTGCAAAAACTATCTACGAGAATACCTTCACGTGGCTCATGTGGGAATGCGCTGCTGCTCTGGACTACGACTCGTTCCGTAGCGACGTGGTGCCGTACATCGGTGTGCTTGATATCTTTGGTTTTGAAGATTTTGAGCCGAAAAACCGCAACTCGTTCGAGCAGTTGCTTATCAACTACGCTAACGAGACACTGCAGAGTTTATTCAACTCTTGCATCTTCGAAGCCGAGCAGGAACTGTACAAAAGCGAACACATTTATCATCCGACGAACCACTCACTCTCTTTCCCGTTTCCTCTCCCTGGCCAAGCGGTCAAAGTGAAAGACCCAGACAACGAGATCGACTTCCTAGCTGAACAAGTAGCTCCCAGTGGTGACCTTGTGGCGTACTCAGACAACCGCGAGTGCTTGAACCTGATCGCCAGTCGTCATGGCGGTTTATTTGCCACTATCGACAATGTGTCGCGTCTTCCAATGCCGTCGGACCGGAAGCTTAATGAGCGTCTGCATACTTTATTCAAGCGTCATCCATGCTTCCCAACGCCCCACCCGAAGGATATCCGTGATACGTTCCTTATCCGCCACTACGCGGGCACTGTGTCGTACACGATCGACTCGTTCGTGGACAAGAACAACAATATCATTTCGGACCAGTTCGAGGAGCTGTTGAAGAACTCTACCTCACGTGTACTACAAGACTTGACAGGTAACACGCGCAATGGCAACCGTGCGCGCTCAGCTTCTACTGTATCACTGAAATCCGCTGGGCTATCGCCTCTGGGTGGCGGGTCTGCGTCCTCGAAGCGACTGAAGGGAGGCAGCACGTCCAACCTATTCTCCACACAGATGAAAGGATTGACTACTGAACTGGAGGGAACAAGCTGCAACTTCGTGCGCTGTATCAAGCCCAACACACAGATGAAGGTCGGTCATTTCGACCGTCCATTCGTCGTAGAGCAGCTACGATGCTCGGGAACAGTCCAAGCCTGCGAAGTGCTGCGTGTCGGTCTGCCCACTCGTATCCTGTACGCTGAAGTGGTCGACGTGTACCGTAACCTATTACCGTTCAAGGTTTTCTGTCGCTTCGAGTCGAACGACAAGCTCTTCACGCAAGCGATTCTATGGGCCTACGACTTCCCCACCAACGCGTACCGATTGGGTGACACTCGCTTGTTCTTCCGTACTGGCAAGATCGATCTGCTGGATAAACTTCTCACCCCGGCGCCGTCTACCACTGAAAACTTGGGACAACAGTTGCTGCTTTATTTACGCAAGAAACACTGGATCAGTGTCACCACTGCCATCATCACGTTCAACGCGTTTAAGCGAATTTTCCAGGATGTTCGCTACCGACGTCGCGCGACGGTGATCCAGTGTATGGTGCGTCAGCATCTGGCAAGGAAACGAGTGCGTAAGCTTCGCGTGCAGCTTCGGATGCACAAGCTCTGGACGCGGATGTCGCACCAAGCGCAGATCATGCACGCGTACCAGGACCGTCCGGAGGATAAGATGGTGTTGCTGGACAAGTTACTGGCCAAGAACTATCTCCCTGTTAAGCAGCGCTGGCTGCTCAAGTGGCTGGGACCTCTGCAACGTGTGATTTACTTGCAGAAGCGATGGAAGAAGATCACAGCGCAGTATATGGCCAAACGAGGTTTCTTGTGGTTGTTCGAGACTGTCCGTCGCAAGCGTAGCGCTCTACGAGTGCAGTCTCATGTCCGTGCGATGATCGCAAGGACGCGCTTCCTGGAGCTCAAGAAGAAGGCGCTCGCTCGTCATCGCTGGCACGCGGCGTACCTGAAGGTGAAGGTCTTTGGTCTGTTTAACCGACAGCTACGTCTGATCCATGTGGACCGGTTAGAGAAGGACAATTCGACGTTGATGAACAGTATGGCTGCTGTAACGGAGAAGCTGGGTGAAGCACAGGAAGAAGCCAAGACGGCCAAGCTGCAGCTTAAGCAACTGCAAGTTTCGTTCGACGAAGTGAAGATCGAAGCCAAGCAGCAACAACAGCGTGTCGAGGAACTGGAGCTGGCACTGCAAGCCAGAAGATTCGAGGTCGCGGAGCTACGCAGACAGACAGGAGGAAGCCTCGTGGAGCGCATCATCCGCTTCTTTACGTGCAGTGCTGCCATCTCGCCGCCGTCTTCGCCTCGTGGCATGGTGACGCCTTCTCGTCTGCCTTCATTGAAACGACAGACGCAGTCGGCGTCGGAGGAGACTTCAGACAAAGGCGAACGGATCGTGTGGGCCACGCCGTTGAGTGAAGCTGTCATGATCCCGCAGGACGAAGACAGCAACACTACCAAGCGCCGTCTCAGCGTCACGGCAGTGAGCGAGGAGCCAGCGTTCGACGCGGAAGAAGAAGAATTCCGCTCCAAGGACGCAGATATGCTGTGGTCTGTGTCCCGATACATGTTCTAAAGAGTCAAGTGGAGAGTTGCTCGCGACGAGAAGCAAGGCGCCTCTCATTCGACGTTAACGTCGACTTATATTATTCGCGTAGCGCACGCGCAGTCGCTGTATGAGCAGCAAATACTTATGTAAACTAAGGTTTTTGTGTTTTGCCAGGGTTTTCTCGATAGGTCTAGCGAACATTTTTGCAGTAGGAGTCGTCGGAAGCACCTTTTTGCAACCTTAATTTGATGCAGTTTGTGTCCTTACGCCTTTGTGTTGTTGCCTACAACGTAGCGTATACAGCTTGTTCGATCAGCATCCGAGCAGTGTCGTTCTTTGG